TTTTTTTTCCACTTCTGTGAAATCGTTGTAACTTTTAGGATATCGTCCCGGCTCTTGAACTGGCGAACAAGCGCAGACAACCTTTGGTTATAATTGCTGAAGATGTGGATGGTGAAGCGTTAACAACTCTGGTTCTCAATAGGCTGAAGGTCAAAGGATTTTTCTTGCTTTACTTTTTATTGACACCATTTAATGTGCTAGTATTATGTAATTTACTCTTCGATGGTTCTAGGTTGGGTTGCAAGTGGCAGCTGTTAAAGCACCCGGTTTTGGAGACAACAGGAAGAACACCTTGAAAGATATGGCTATTGCGACTGGAGGCACCGTCTTTGGCGACGATGCAAATTTGGTTAAGATTGAAGACGTACAGTTTGATGATTTTGGTGAAGCTGAAGAAATCTCGATTACTAAAGATGACACACTTATTTTGCGAGGGAAGGTAGTTGTCTTCTCGTTTTCGCTTGTACTTGATGCGTGTTGATGCTTACTTTAATTCTCTTGTTATTTTTTTTTTCGTTTATTTCCAGGGCGACGTTGCAGCTATTGAGAAGCGAATTCAGCTGATTGAAGATGAGATGGAGCAGAGCACATCAGATTACGAAAAAGTATAACTTGTCTTTTGTTTAGCTTACTGGAACACAGTTTTCGGCTCAGCGCTGTTTCCATCTCCATGTGTGTGAATTAACTATTTATAGGAGAAACTGAACGAAAGGCTGGCAAAGCTTTCGAAAGGTGTAGCTGTTGTGAAAGTGGGGGGTGCCAGTGAGGTAGAAGTAAATGAAAAGAAGGATCGAGTAACAGATGCTTTGAATGCAACCCGTGCGGCGGTTGAGGAGGGCATTGTACCTGGTGGTGGTGTTGCCTTGCTTCGAGCGCTGAAAGCTTTAGATGCTGTGAAAGGAGATAATGAAGATCAAGTTAGAGGTTAGGAAGCTTGTTCTGCTTTTTATATTTCGTTTTTCGTGCGGCAACTTCTTTGCAATGGTAACGAAAGACGAAGGATTTTTATCTGTTTTTTATAAAGATGGACTTTTAGGAATTAGAATTGTACAGAGAGCAGTGAGAGAACCGATAACAACAATAGTACGAAATGCTGGAATAGATGCTGCTACTGTTGTTGAAAAGGTATTGGCTAAGGAAGATGTGAATTATGGTTTTGATGCGCTTAATGCTAAGTATGTGGATATGGTTTCTGCGGGTATTATTGATCCAACCAAGGTGATAAGGACAGCTCTTCAGGTAATGTCCTATCATGTGATCTTTATTTTTTCACAACGCCTTTAATTAATTATAGATAAGAAACTACATCACTGTATCTTCTCCAGGTTTGAGGTAGTTCTGCGTTTTTATGATGATGCATTTTCAGGATGCAGCTGGTGTAGCTTCACTTTTGGCGACGACAGAATGCGTCGTTACGGAATTACCTAAAGAAGAACCACCGATGCCGACAGGCGGAATGGGTGGGGGTATGGGTAGCATGGGTTACTGAGCTTTTTAGAAATAAAATCTTGAGATTTTGTATGTGCATTTGCATTGTGCATGTCGCAGTGGAGCTTTCTCTTTTACTTTTTTATTCGGCTTCCGTCTAGTGATTTTAGTTTATTTGGGTAGGTGGGGAATATTGAAAGGCTTTAGTTGGTTGTATGAAAAATGGAAGGATGAAAAGGAACAGTTTGTAAGTTGGCGAACTATCGAGCTCATCTTGGTTGCTGTGGTTTAAGGTAAATTAGTTGAGGTGATAGGTTTCGTAAAGATTAGGACCTCGTTTAGCGGTATTTTCACTTGTTTAGATTAATGGTTTGTTTATAACGTTTGTTTGTTAATTGACTTGTTCACTGTTGCCCGTTGATTATAAAATTTCTATCTTGTTGTTCATTTACTTTAGAGTAGTAGGTGTGTCGCTAGTTAATAAGTTTAATATGAGAAATCTGCCCTGATAGTTGTTGATTTTACTATTATCCAATTCCCATGATTATCCTTTAAGGATTTTGTCTTGACGAAAGCATCTCATTTTGACATATTGTTAATGATTTTAACGGACTTACCGATACTAATAAAGTTGTTTTACGAAAAAAACAGGTGAAATTGAGGGTTAGCTTGTCTGTTTGTCAAGTGCGGCGTGGTTATGGGGTTTGGCATTGTGCTTGTTTTTCAGGTGTTTTGGTTGCTTTTTGGTGGGTTATGTGCAGCTGTTAAGTCGTGTGGAGTGTGGCATTTTTTGAAAATGCTTGGTTTTAGTGCAGGAGCTGGTGCTGGTTTTTTGTTTCCCGTGCAGGCAGGTCCGGTTACGCTGCTTTTTAAGTTTCCGGTCGGACGCGTCGAAGGTGTGGTGCTGTATCTTGTGAGTGTGGGGTTGTCCAGTGAGGACATGAGAATGGTGCATTTTGTGCAGGGATTTGCTTTGAAGTGAGTGGTTCGAGCTGCTGGTCGTGGTTCTTTTGCGGTGTAAATTGGTGGGGCTAGTGGGACATAATGTTTATTCAGTCCACTGTTTGTTTGACGGTGCTTGTGCAGTATTATTTGATTGTTTGGTGGGTGTTGAAAAAGTGCCCTGGGACGCTTACCTTGTACTTATAAAATTTGTGGCTGTGGTGGCTTTTGCTGAATACGTTTCAGGGAACAAATTGTTAGAAAATGAATTTGTGGCTGAGCCTACTGAAGGTTAAGCTATTAACAAAAAAAAAAAACTGTTTTGCTATTTCTTGACTGTGGTTTATTTTCTTGATCTCATTTTGAAAATACCCAGTGCTAGCTTAAAATTAAAAAATTCCGTTTATGGAGGTTTTCACTCTTTCTTCCAACTAATGTTTGGCATTTTTGCTCAGGATTGTTTTTGTGGCTTTTTCTGCTCGTTTCGTACTGCGATTTAACAGCGACAAAACCTCAACAACCTCACCTTTCAAATGGATGGCTGGTAAAAGTGGAAATCAAAGAGAAAACGTTAGTTAGAGGAAAGCATCTTTTCAAAATTGTTTAATTTCTTGCCCGAATTAGCAGTGTAATCGGCTTTGGTTTCATTTTAAAATTCTGCTGTGTTATATTAGCTTTGTAGAAGACAAAATCTTCATTCTAAATGGTTGATAGAACTCAAAAATTATTAGCCAGAAAACTACTGGAGTGCAACTACCAACCTAATTTTCGAGATTCGCCAGTCGTCTTTTACGCTTTTAGTTTTGCAGTTAATTTATATTTTTAACTACAGCAACAAAAACTACAACAACTACAACGAAAACAACAACAGTACAAAAACGTCACATTTTTAAAACGACTCACAACAGGATCAGGGTTTTGATTATGGCTGCTGGTTTGCTTTGTCTGACTTCGTGTAGTTCGCCAATTTCGACAGTCATTGTCGGTCAGGTGTGGAACTTTGGCTTTTGTTGGTCGCGTTTTAACCACTTAAAAGTTGGCTGTATTTTGTTTAAGGGCAGTGAATTCTCTGAAATACACAAGTCAGTACTGGTGAAGACAATGTAATAGTAAAATATAGTTGATATTACATGGATAATTTTTTTTTATACATTAAACCGTTATGAGTGGATACTTCTGCTGTCATCAGACTTTTGTCTTCATTTTAAGTAATTTTTTCCGTACTGCAAACTGCAGTAAAATGAAAAATGCAGCAGAATTTCACTACTTTGAAACTTTATCTTTTTTACTTGCATTTTAAAAAAAACTTAATTTTGGTTTGTCTGCTGGCCAAAAAAAAAAAGTGCAAAGCAAGAATCTCTGTACTTTTTCTGTATTTTGAAAATCACAATTGAGTTTAATGAGACGGGCAGTTAGCCAGCGAATTTAAGTCAGTGAAAACTAAGCATTAAGACTACTTTATTTTTTAGGTGAGAATTCTCAGGTATTTGGATGGCTCATCCGAAAACGCAAAGAAAAAAAATGTTGTTCAACTTATAATATTTATCATTTTAGAGTTTAGAGGGAGGAAGGACATTCGTCTCAAAAATAAGTGCTTTAACGCGGTATGAATGTTCAAGTCAACCTAAATTTCAGCAAATGTTTCCAAACGCAGTGGAACAGTTTGCTGCTGCATATTGTAATTTCCTTCTGTACCAGTAAGATCAAGGACAAACTGTTGTCAAATATAACGTGATAAACACTGTCTGGAAATGGAGTACTAGAAGCTTCTACTTAACTGGTACAGGAATTTGGATAATAGAGGACCTGTTTTCAGACACAAAGATATGCTGAAAGCATGTTTTATTAAATACTTTTAGCTTGATCTTTTAATACCTTTCTGCAGATGTCTTTACTCCAAATTTCCTTTTTTTTCTTAAATCTATTTTAAGTTGAAAAAAGCGAGGTTTTGACAGTGGTAGTTGGCGATCGAGCTTAGAATGCGCATTAGACAGAAGCCAGGAGAGTGAAAGCCAGTTACAACAACTATTAAGTTTTTAATGAGGCTGCCTAAATGGTGGACCAGTTTCTTAATTAGAAAATACATCGTAATACTAGAAGCGTGATGGGGAATTCCTTTTAAAAAACGCAATTTCTTTTGGCAAATTATGCAGCCGGACAGACATCAGAACAGGTCTAAAAAACCATTGTTTTTGTATGCAGGACTTCAAAAGCTAGCTGAAACCTAGATTGTTTAGAACATCTTGAGTAATTTTATTAGAGTGAGTATAGTTGAAGAGCAGTTACTCAAGTAACACACCTGACACTTATTAGGGGCAATATGAAAAACTCGTGGTTACTCTCAAATATCACAGAGACGTTGGCCAACAAAGTAGTAGGAAGTAAGCGGTCATTGGCGGTATTCTTCGCGTCAGAATTATTCTGATGGCTAAATGTTTGTTTGTAGCTTTGTAGCTTTTTCTGTTTAAAAATACAAACAAAAATTGCTCTAAAATTATTGAGAGCAATAAGGTGGGTTTAGGTTCCTGCTTAATCATGGTTACTTGTTGTATTTTTAAATAAACGTCACTTATTAGGAGCAGTCTTAGTAGTGGTAGATTTTCAATCTTTTTTTACACGGAGAAAAGTCTGAATTATAGGTAAAGATATTGAAAAATTTCAGAGATACTTGGCGGACAGGTCATTTTTGAAACTTCTGAACTATCCACTGAAATTGCATTTTTTTGATTCAATAGGGCCTGGAAAGCATTATCAGTAAAGGATGGATATAAACAGCTGATGACTTTTAATCAGTTGCAGATTCTTAGAAGCAGTGCGAAGAGTGTTTTTTCACACACTTAGGCTCTAATTTCAAGTTTTTTACTGCATTTGTAAATAGGATAGCTTTTTCTCTATAGTTTTTTTCTATTAGTAAGCGGCATATGTTTTGTCTCATTTTTTTATAAAAACATCATGTGTTGCTTGTGTGTTAGAAACTATCTTTCAAAACAATTACAAGATTGGTGGTATTAACTGCTAACAACGTTATTTGTGAAAGTATTGACGATGACAAGAAAACAAAAAAAAGTTGTCGATGGGGTTTAGTTTATTAACAATTTTTTTTCATTCCTGATTGGACTATTCAATTTTGTGGAATAAGAGGTATGGTGAACAAAAACTGCTGGATTAGAAAGCTCATTTGTAGTTAAAGCAAAAATTTTTTCTGGAGAAATTTGTAGTTGATATTTTGAACTGCATACAGCAAAGGTGACCAGGAATTTTGCCTATTGTAATAGCCACACTATTTGATGCTGTAAACAGATTGCTGTATTCTATAAGCGAATAAATTTTTTCACCAAAGAAGACTACTGTTGATGACTTCAAAAATTTTCACAAACAATTTTGGCTGCCATCTGATTAAGGAGTACAGAAAAAGATTTTAACAACACTACAAATATTTTTTCTGTTTTTAACATAAGGTGGCATTTCACAAGTTCTTGACAATGTGTCCAAGACTGGCCTGCAGAGGCCATCGTCTTTAGTAAGTATAACGACGTTGCTGCTCCTGTATTTTGTTCTTCATAAAGCAGAAGCTAAACAGTTTAAGCATTCAGAAACACTTTCATCTACCCTATGTATCTGGCTCTCTCCACCTAATTATTATTTTTTCAAATTACTGAGTCTAAGAGAAAAATTCTATTAAACTTGAGGGAGAATTGGGGCTGCTTTGATGGGATTTTTGAAGTCTCCAAAGAGGTACTGTATTTGGGGCTGCTTTAATGGGATTTTTGAAGTCTCCAAAGAGGTACTGTATCAATGAATAAAAATTTGCATAGTAAACATTGAAAACTGTATGCTGGTATCTAACGAGTTTGACAGGTGAGTTTCGGCATAGTTTTGTGGTACTTTAGCAGATTAAAGCTATTTAAAATTTCAATTTTACAATTATTATTTGAATGGATACTAATTGTTTGATGAAAAAACATTATCAATATCAATTAACTATTGAGACCATTAGGCAGTATTGATGAACAGGGAAAGAGTGAGCAGTGAGAAATGTAAGAAATAGATTTTAATAAATGTATAAATTAGTGGAACAAATAAAAGTAAAAATAGAAAAAATTAGAAAGAAAATTGCTA